TTGGAGATGCTGAATGACTCCCACACCTTTGGAGCATCTGCTCCTGCTTTTCATGGCTTGGGCTGKTTTTTTATTTCTGGCACTGGTTTGAACTGTGTGAAGAGCCTTACCCTTGCTCCAGTATGCTTCAATCCTGCATTTCCTGGTAATTTCTTTTACAAATGGCATGGAGAGGGGAATAAAAAATCCCAAATGAAAGCTGTGTCTCTGTGTGTGTGACAGGGCAGGGAGAGGAGCTGGGTCATCCACCAGCACTGCCTGCCCTGGGGGTGCAGCAGAGCCCATCCTGCCCATGGGGATGGGAAATGTGAGCTCAGGGTGGTGGCACTGCTGCTGCAGAGCAGAGAAATGACCTGGAAAACACATCTTGTGTTGTTCACCATGGAATCCTGGCATRGKTTGGGTGGGAAGGGGKCTCACAGCCATCCCATCTCAYCCATGCCATGGCAGGGACACMGTCCCCTAYCCCAGGTTGCTCCCAGCCCCATCYAACCTGGCCTGGCACACTTCCAGGATGGGGCAGCCACAGGCATTGGAGCCAAGCAGGGGAAAAATGAATTTTTCTGTTCTTTCTGGCAGAGCTGTGAGCTCTGCGGGCTCTCAGGTGGGAACGCTGGGGGCTCGGTGTCTGGGGCAGATAACACCGGGGTTTGCTKGCACAAACAGCCTGGGGGCTGCTGCAGCTGCTGCCAGCCCGGCGGCCCCGGTGGCAGCGCCATTGTCCCACACGTGTGGCCCTTCCCAGGCCTGTGGGGCTGTGCCACGTTGGCCAGCGCTCGCCTTTATAAAGAGGAGCTGCAGGAGCTTGCTCTGCTCTGCCCCAGCTATGGAGGGCCTGAACGTGTCCGTGGCGTTTTTCCTGCTGGTGCTCGGGGCGTGCCAGGCGCTCGGGTGGCTTTCCCGGAGGCTGCTCTCCCCCGGCCCGTGGGGCTGCCTCGCCAGGGAGTTTGCTGGCTCTTTCCAGCTGTGTTCGAGCTGCCTGGAGCTCMGGATGCTGATGGACATCGGGCCCTGGGGCGCTGGTTTCGGCCTGGACCTGGCCCTCACGCTGCTCTTCCTGCTSTGGGCCGCCCATGGCGCCGCTCTGGCCGGAGTGCCCGCCACCCCCACGGTGTGTGTGCAGGAATTGCTGCTGCTCCGGGCCGGCCCGGCGGGGACAGGGGCCAGGCTGCTGGCCCAGGCTGCGGGCACGGCGGCGGGCAGGGCGCTCACCCGCCTCTACTGGTCCTGGGAGCTCACACAGCTCCAYTTCATCCAGAACCTGATCGCTGCCGAGTGCAGCTCCGCCATCCGCGCCCCSCTGCCCCTCGCTGCCTTCGTGGAAGGCTCCTGCTCCTTCCTCTTCCACCTGGTCCTGCTCAAGGTGCGCCAGAGCCACCCCCTGTGCCGGGTCCCTGCGCTGGCGGCCACTGTCACCTTCCTGACCTACGCAGGTGAGCGGCGCCGGCCTTTGTTTCTGGGTAATTTGGAAAAAAACACCTCATTTGTGGGGGAGGAGCAGCCCCTTTTCATCTTCTAGGGCTGGAGGGGGAGGGATTAATGAGGTAATGGCTACTGAGGTGATGGTTTTCTGTTATTTTGGGGGATGTTCGTTTTGGGGTGAAGATGGCAGTTCAGGTGTCTGTGCTGCAGGTGAGTGTCAGCTCACAGGCTGGGATCGCTTCCCTGGGGTGTCCCCAAATACAATCCCTCTGTCCTGCACTGAGCTCTGCTTTCCCCAAAGCTCAGGGAAAAGCTGAGGGTGGGATTTCCTGGGGCAGGCAGGAGGGCTCCCAGCCCTTTGTCAGTGTCCCACASGATGCCCTGGTGCTCTTGGCGTTGTTTCTCTCCCTCGCAGCCGGACCRTTCACGGGGGGCTTCTTCAACCCTGCCCTGGCCACGGCCACCACCTTCCACTGCTCGGGGAGCAGCTCCTGGGAATACATCCAGGTGTACTGGCTGGGGCCCCTGGCAGGTGAGCTCTTGTGGGGCAGGAGCTGGGATGGGGGCGAGACAGGAGTGCTGGGGGTAGCCCTGGGTTCTGGCAAAGAGCAGAACGGGGGCCTTGCTAGTGGCCGGTGTCACTTCTCATCCCTCCTCCTTGTCTCTGGAGTCATCTCAATTTTATKTATATTCTGCACTCTACAAGGGCAGAAAGCTCCACGAAGCCAAAGCCTGGGGGAGATGGAGTGAAGGTATTCCAGGGCAGTGTCAGGCTGAGCTCTGCTCCGAGGTTGTCCTCAGCTTCAGGATGATCTCAGGGAGCTGAATCTGTGTGACAGTGGAGACAAGTCCCTGACAGGAGGGGGCAGCCAGGTGGGGRTMGGGCTCTGCTCCCAGAGAACAAGTGATGGGACAAGAGGAAATGGCCCCAAGTTGCCCYAGGGGAAGTTTAGGTTGKMTATTGGGAAAATTTCCTCCCAGAGGGGTGGTCAGGTGCTGGCACAGCTRCCCARGGCAGTGCTGGAGTCCCCATSCCTRCAGGGATCTAAAAGCTGTGTGCATGTGGCACTTGGGGACATGGTTAACRGTGACCTTGGCAGCGCTGAGGGACTGGTTGGACTCAGAGGGCTTTTCCAGCCTYGAYGATTCTGTGCCAGAAAACCCCTGGGGTGCTTTGTGGCCCCTTTGGGGTCGGAACAAGCCTTTATTTATAACATTATTTTATTATAGTTTATCACATCAAGGGCACAGCGGTTCAATTCTCCCTAAAGCAGCACAGCGAGGCTCCCTCAGCTCTTTTGGGGGTTTCAGTGGGGCTGAGCAGCCTTTTGGTCACGGTGAAAGCGGTGCCAAGGACCCGACACCGCCGCTGAGCCGTGGGGAGGGGGCTGTGCTCTCTCGTTCCAGGGATGCTCGCCGCCCTCCTGCTCTTCCASGGCAACATCCCCCGCCTCTTCCAGAGAAACCTCCTCTACAGCCACAAGAGCAAGTACAGGGTGCCAAAGGCCAGGGTGGCGGCGCAGGTGGAGGGTGACAAACCGAAGACGAAAGGGGACAAGAGCAAGGGCGAGCCCCGCGCCTGAGCCCGGGGGTTCTGGCAGCCCCTTTCCCCGTGTGGAGCATTTTGCTGCTTTTTCCATCCTTTAAGCATCACAAAGGAATCCCTGCGGGATGCCTGAGCCCCYGAGCTCCTTCGGGAATGGCTTTGAAATCCTTCCCGGAGAGCCTGAAAGCTTTCAAGGCCACATCGCTGCTTCAGAGAGAAAAACCTGAACATTTTTGCATAAATTGCTGTTGTCTCGTACTGCCGGGAGTCTCACAGAAAACTCTGGACCGTTCCATGGGCAGACTTGAGCAACTCGGGGTTATTGAATCGTGCAAAGCCTGAAATAACCTCACGGGGTCTCATGCAGCCCTAAAAACAAATTWCAAACCRGTCACTGCCTTGGAAACTTGGGATRRGRAGGAAACAGGCTTTGATCTTCCRAGTTATTAAYGGATACTGGCTAAAAATCAGAGYTCTTTGAGTTAAATTCGACCCTGAAGTCCTTGAATTGCACTGGCTGGACCTGGCAAGTCTCAGAGAGGAATTAAAAATGTTCCCTGACACGGGAGACCCTGCTCCTCCTGGGATGTGCTTAGCCTGGGTTTTGGTGCTGTAAAGCTTCGAGAAATTGTGCACAAAGGGATTTTTAGTTAAAAAAAAAACAAAACAAAGAGACCCAGGCAGCTGCTGTGATTGAGAAAGTGCATCCCTGGGGTCTGCTCCACGTGTACGTGAAATACTCCTAACTATAAAATTACGGTTTGTGGAAAAAAAATAATAAATATAAATGCTGTGGTTGGTGTTCGGGTGAGTGATGTGATCCCTGTGAGCCCTGAAAATCAGAGTCACTGTGGTGCCCACAGCACCTCTGCCCTCTGGAAATGGGGGAACCTGGGGGAAACTCCTGCTGGGGAAATGGGGATCCCCCGGGCTGTGCTGGGGCTGGGGCACCCCACGGGAGCTGCACCCCGGGCTCTCTCCTCAGGGAAGAGCACGGGGAGATTGTGATGCCCTGGCTGTCCCTGTGTCCCTGCCCTGGGTCACCCAGCAGGAATGACCCACTCCTGTTTCCCAAACAGGGAATAAGGAAGGGGCACCCCATTAAAACCCAGCGTGGAGGTGTTGGAGGTTTGGTCCCAGTGTCCAGCCCTGCTCCTCCCTGGGCTCTGCTGTGGCCACGGGGGACACCCCCAGGCTGCTGCCSGACCTTGGGGCTCCCATCCCAGTTRATTCYCTCTGGAGGGACCTGCAGGAACCCCAGACYTCTGAAACCAGCAGGAGAAACGAGGGAAAGGACCAASACAGCAGCACACGGATGTGCCTCASAGATGAAGCTTTATGGAGCACACAGCACCCCAAAACCACGGAGCAAAATCCCCCAAATGACACCCCCTCCTTGTGCCCGGCCGGATGCTCGGGGYACTGGGAGCACAGCCTGGCTTTTTTCCTGCTTAAACTGAGCAGGAGACCTTTGGATGAAAACTGAAACCTTTGAGGCTCTTGGTGCCTGCCCAGGTAGAGCCTGGGACGCTCAGATCYCCCCAGGCAATGTTTTAGGAGACTCTTTTGGTTTGGAAATAGTGCTGAAAAGCTGGGGATGGCGCCTCTGTTCATCCCAGCTGATTTGCTGGCTCTGCTTTTGATTCGAGGAGAAGGGCAGGGTGACTAAAGTAAGGCTGATCCCACAAGCCATTCCTGTGGGATCTGTCCCTGGGCCGAGTGTGGGATGTTCCTGTGGCAGTCAGAGCCGTGGAGAGACTCACGAGCTGTCTCTGGTCACACAGGTATGGAACTTCTTTTTTTTTTTAAATTTTTTTTTTGTGCTTTTCAGGACATTTTCAGATGTTTGGGGTGTGCTGCTGGGAGATAATCTGCTGGGCAGCCCGRTGTTATTACGGGGAATTTAAGGAGTGACGGTGAATGTTGTTATTTTTAATTAARAGGCTGCTTTTCCAGCGTTCTCAGAGCAGGGGAGAGCTGCAGCTGCACGGACAGACAGATTCGTTCCCGAGCTGTAAATCAAACTCCACAGCTCCGATTTACAGCTTGGCTCTGTCCCGTCCCAGTTGAGGATTTGGGCTGCCCTCCTGGACCTGCTCCTCGCTGCTGGAGCCACTGCTGCCACTGCGGGGGTTTGTTAGTGATTGAAATACTGATTTTGTTTAGGGTTTTTTTTTGTATGTGAAGTTGTTTATTGTAATGAAGTTTTATAAGAATTTTAAATACTTAATAATTAGTTTTTATTTGTATATAACATATGTAGTAATGGGTAAAGTTTGAAGGTTTTTGAGAGTTTTTTGTGGGTTTTTTTCCTTTAAATTTTTTTTTTTTTGCTTTTTTTTCCACGGCTTTTAGTTTTTTGTGAATTGGCCTTTTTGTATCTGATTGTAACTATTCACCCAGAGTTTTTCTGCTCACCAAAGCAAAATCTTTTTTTTGCTCACCACCAGCTCTTCGGTGCCTGAGGTCTGCATTCCCGCAGGGTTTCCCTCTGGAAAAGTCCCGGAGCCCTGGGAGCCCCGCGCAGAGCTGGGCACAAGAGGTGACCGCGGCTGGCGCGGGCAGGGCACCCCGCCCCGGGCGGGCAGGGGGGGATGGAGAAGGATGTCCGGAGGGGCCGGGGGGCTCAATTTCGGGTGGGCTCCGGCCGGGCGGTCTCGGGGGGCTGCGGGGGGAACTGTTTCTTGTAGAGGATGCTGCTGTACTGCAGCTCCGGCGTCACCAGCCGCCGGCAGGTGCGCTCCAGCTCSCCGCCCAAGCCCTGCTTGAGGTTATAGCCCAGGATGCGGGCTCCGCCGTGCTGCAGCGGCCGCAGCGAGGAGTCCTTGATGTCCTTGGGGGCCACGCTGCCCGTGCCCTGCAGGCAGGTCCGGGCCAGCTCCGCCTGGCGCGCCCGCAGCGCCGCCACCTCCCGCCGCAGCCGCTCCCGCCCGATGCGGCGCTCGATGCGCTCCCAGAAGGTCCTGTTGAARTGCGTGTAGATTTCCCAGTCCAGCCTGTTCCAGGCCTTCAGCTTCTCCACCACGTCGTCCGGGAGCGGGGATTTGGTGCTGCTGTCCCTGGAGTTGAGCGGGAAGGAGACGACGCTGTCCAGGTCCCAGCACAGCATCTCCTTCAGCAGCACCATGGACTCGTCGAAGTACTCGGAGATGAGCACGAAGTCGAAGGACGCTTCGATGGCRTTCAGCATGAGCTGCACTCGCTCGGGGGACGAGTCCCCGTCGGGGTTGAAGCCGAAGTCGAAGGTCATGAGGTTCCTGGCGTAGTGGCGGTCCCCGCTGGTCGGGCTGTAGTAGCGGTAGGGCTGGCTCAGGAACTCGGCCAGGCTGCGGACACGCGAGAACGCCGACGCGCCCTTGTAGTACACGAAGGAGGACTCCATCAGCTGCACCGGGTTCCTCAGGATGGAGAAGTACACGGCAGAGCGGGGCACCACTTTCTGCACCTGCAGGGGAGGAAAAGGAGGGTTTGAAGGCGGGGCAGGGAGACAGGACC